AAATAACGCCAACAAGCTGTTCGACTTAAAATGGCAGGAGGACCAAGTCTCCATGGAGATGACTAACATCGGTTTCATGAACTCAGAAGAACTCGAGCACGCCACCGAACATTTATTGAACTCTGTGACTTTCCAACGGAAATCCCAAGACACCTACGGAATGCGTTATGACTTCTCCATCAAAAACATGGAATGGACATCCGCTGTGAACATCATGTCGGGTGATATGAGAACGACCACAGGGCCAATGAAGTTCACTATCGACCAAATCAACATGAAAGTATACGTCGAAAAGTCAACCCAACAACAACAGTCGTATGGCAAGGCCAACACCAACGTGGAAATACGTGGTCTCCATTACAACTTGAAGAACGTCAAGTCCAACCTTGTTTCCTACTTCGAAAACGACCTCCAACGTTTCATGGAACTTTCTTTGGGATCTTACATCCAAGATACTTTGGTACAAGAATTAAACAACTCTAGTCGCCAATACTAAGTTGACTCATTTATTTTAAAACATTAGTTTTTCTTAATATATTATATAAAATAAGCAATAGTATAAACATTAAACATATTATATTTTTTAGTTTTTAATTTTACAATAGTTTTATAAATTATAATATTTGATTTGATTGCCTACAAAATACATTTAATATCTAATACATGAAATTATTTATGTGTGCATATTTTAAAAAATAACATAAATATGAATTGCATGTTTAATCGGCAAAAACGGTTTTTTCGATTTGAAATTTGTCGTTTTTAGTTTACACTGTGAACTCGGTACCTACATATAATTAGGTACAAAAATAACATAATATTACTAGCTACAGTATTACATGGCATTCGCCGGGGATAAATGAAACCGAGATGAACAATACAACTGCGAGAGATAGTAATAATTTATTACTAATAACTTTTAAGTAACATTTTATTCTTATGTGAATCAATTGCAAAACCGAAATAAATTAATATATTGTGGTTTTGATTTTAATCAAATATGTGGTATCATCAGTAACTAAAATAACTGGTTTATTATCAAAACCTTTATTGAATAGTCGAAATCAGTAGAGTATTATTTGACTCCATAAGCCTTAGCCTGTGTATTGTCTTTAACATACTATGATTGCTGTTACCCATATAATACTCTAACAATCCGATCGGGATCACAAATAATGTGTGCAAAATTTGATGCTAATTATTTAAAAAACTGTGGATTTTCATACTCGTCATTTAAAATTTAAAAAATATATTAAATTTAATAAAACCCGACTAATAACTCATATCTGTTTTAGTCGGCAATCCATTGCAATCAATCTATCTACCGTTTCAGTTTTGTTTGAGTTGAAAATGATGAGTTGTTTTTTTCAGAATATCATAAATGTGATGCATACGTGTATGCATAAATACATTTATAATATTATTCACTATTAAAGTGCATGGCATAGTACACTGAAATCTGTACATAAATGAAAAACTTAAATTTTTCTGGCTCCAACATGTTGATGCCAAGACTGCATTTAATAGTCCACAAATAGCTCGATTTTCGCACGATAAGAATAATATAATACAAATATTACAGTTAATAACTTACATATAATAATTAAAAAAATCGTTCGAAATAATTACTGTATGAGAACTAGCATTGTAGATACTATATGACAGGGATCACTAATTGATATTTTTGGAGGTCCTAAGTAATAACTTCTGGATGATTTCGGGACCCATCCAAATTGAATGTAGTACCTTATAATCTAAGAAATTAATGCTCTGTCTGCGGGTCAGATATTTATGTTCGACCACGGACCGCTATTTGACGATCTCTTTGGGTAGAGTATATAACTCTGCCGCGTATTCTCGTACCTGCAATATAATAGGGTTAATGAAAAATTTAAATTTGTCTGTAATATAGAGTATAGACTATAAACCACAACTTATAGGACCATTAAATAAAACATATTTTATTCGGTATTGTATATTGTTTAAATAAACAAATTAATTTAAAAAAATTAATCGATTGTAATAAAACATATAATAAATATATATACGAATAATAATTGTAAATAAAAATATAAGCGGATAACCGAGGAGGTCAATAAAAAACAGAAACTCTGTCTCGTCTACGTATCATTATAAATTATAATATAATATTATTGTTAGAATATAATATAGTGACTATTATTGTACGTGTATTTTTTTGCGTCCGCTAATTAATATTTTTCGGTACATGTGGCATTCCGGCTACCACTCGGTTTTCGATGTTACACTCGTTGTTTCCCCTGAGTATTCTGAACAGTCCGTTCTCGCCCCATGATCGGCTCCACGAATTGGCGCACAACCAATACTTGGTATTATCGTCAACGCCCCAGCCCAATATCTTGATCGCGTGACCGCCTTCTATCTGACCTCTTGTGTAACTGTACACTCCTTTGATACGCAAAACAAAAATCCAACAACACACATGAATCAAAGCAAAACTAATATAATTGCAATGCTATAATGGTAAATACAGTTCATTTTATAAAATATCTGGTCTTTATATTTGTGAATTATATTGTTACCTACTTAGATAGTAAAAAGAGATGCAACGATAAGAGTAAACAATATTTAAATTATAAAATATGTGAGGTGGTAATTTAATAAAAATTTAAGTTAATATTATGTTGTTGCGAGCGAAGTGAGTTTATTATTTTTTTAAGTTACCATTTTTGGCTGTTCAAAACTTTTGCCGCCTTTTATTGAACACTGAAATTACGCCACTGATATTATGTAGACCTATTTTGTATAAAAGTTTATTATATCGAATTAATTTGTTTTGTTGGTAACGTATTAAATTTAAAATAATAACTAATAAATGGTAATATTACAGTTTATAGACTACCTATTTAAAATT